GCATGAGCAGCGGCTACAGCAGCCTGGAGGAGGAGGAGAGCGAGGAGTTCTTCTTCACCGCCCGCACCTCCTTCTTCGGCAGGCCGCAGGGCAAAGCCCGGCCCGGCCCGCAAGTGAGTGCTGCGGTCGGGTCGGGCGGCATCGCTGCCCTAAGCGCTGCGGGGTGCCCCGGGGGGGTGGTCCGGACCTGCCGTACCCAGTCCCCGGCCCGCCGCGTTGAGTTGCCCGCGGGCGCGCCGCAGGGCTGCAGCGGTGCCTGCACGTGGGACGCGGCTCCGGGCTCCGGCGCTTTAGGTGGCCGCGAGCGCCTCGGGGCAGCAACGTGGCAGGAGCGCGTGCGGGGCCGGGCCGGGAGGGCGGTGTCGGCGCGGGTCACCTCGGTGCCGCGCGCTTGGAAACTTCGGTCTTTGGTCCGGGACGGGGAAGGAGCTCCCTTCTGACAGCGCCGCAGCGCCTGCTCCCACCTGGGAGTTGCACTTCAACGTGTCTCCCACAGCTGGGGCCTCTGTTCTGTGGTTTGGGCTGGGTGCTAGCGCTAGACATAAAGCCAGCTGCTGTGCCCGGTTTCAAGCTGCAGCGAGGGAAGTTGAGGTTAGGAATTAGGAAGAACTTTCTCACTGGGAGGGTAGTAAAACACCGGAACAGGTTACCCAGAGACGTGGGGGGGATCTCCATCCCTGGGGATGTAGCCTTGGCTGGGATGATCTGGTTAGGGATGGTCTTGCTTTGAGCAGGGGTTTGGGCTAGATCAGCGGCGCTCAACCGTTTTTGTACCAGGGCCCATCTGTAAACATCGACGGCCAGTCCCGATCCCTTGCCCACCAGCGTGTGGGGTGGGGGGCCCAAGCAGCCCTCACGGCCTGCAGGGGAAAACCTATAGTTTCCCACACTTTTCTCCTTTAAAGGAGAATTCATTTTTTTAAGTTTGCTTGCGACTCTTTCATGTATTCATGTAACCCACTTTTGGGTTGCAACTCACAGGTTGAGCAACTGGAGGCTAGATTTGCTCCTGAGGTCCCTTCCAACCCTCATTTCCCATGATTCTATGACTAGCTTGAGACTAACTTTGCAGTAACTTTCACTAGCTGTTCTAAAAGTGCATTCAGAGACACAGTATTGACTTGAATCCAAGATGACTGCATATCTAAGATGATCCCTGAATAATTAGATTTTAATCCCTGGAAAAGTTATCAATTGGTTATAATTTTCCATGTATAGAATCCAGTTATTGGGGAGTTGTCTCTAATTTATCCCCCTCACTGCTGCAGGCAGGTGGTGTGGGGAGGTCAGGCAGCTTGCATTCCCACCCCCGGCCCCCCGGGGTTTTGCTCCATGCCAGCAGGCTCCATCCCCTTCTAGCCTGGGGAATTGAGCATGGCCCCAGCCTCTCAGCAGCTGTGCTCCCATGCCACTGCTACAGGATCAGGCTGGGGCTGTGCTCAGTGCCCCAGGCTGCCTGCTGCATGAAGCAAGGCTAAGTGGGGGAGGGAGAAGGACAGGCTGGGAAGCAGAAGCTGCGTAAGGGGAGATGGGGAGAAGAGGCTGCAGTGTGGGGGTGTGCGGGTGGCAGGGGTTGGGAGGCGATGGGCAGCAGCTGTGCCTATGACCCTGACTGGGTAGGAGGTAGAGGCCAAGCCACAGCAGCTGCCTGCCCACACCCCACACTCAGACTTAATTCTAAGGGGTTTCTTCTCCATGTGAAATGAGGGGGGAAACCTTGCTTTAGAATTGAGTAAATATGGTATTTCTTTTTTTTGTGAAAAGACAGATCCCCATGTGAACAGATGACTATAAAAACCTAGGCAGACTGAATGTTTCTGTCAAAAAACTGGAATTTAAGTCATGGTGATGAAATACAAGCTACCTGTTTCTGTAGGGTGTAATCATACTGTCATCTTTTGTTTTTAGTTTTCCTTTTGGCTGTTATGTGCTTCTGTATTTATGGTTATGTCGAGTCTGGGAAGCATGAGTTAAATGGGGGCTATTTCAGCTTCTTGGTTGGTAGAGGGAAAAAGATACAAGTGTCTTGTCTAATCTCAAATTGCTGAACAATCAGCTCCAAATAGTCTCAAAACCAAAGAATGGAATTAGTATTCATATTTTGTTATGGAGTTGGGACTGGAGTATTAGTCAATAGGCCATTCACTGTCTCGGTGAACTGTAGGCTTGTGTCCCAAGTGCAGGAAATTTGGAGGTTTGAAAACCGATCTCTACCAATAGCTAAACTAACTTCAGAAATGTGAAGTGGAACAGTGTGCCAAAGGTGCAAAATAGGAATCAATTTATGTAAACTGCATTTCTTGTTCCTTTTGTTTATGATGTCTCAAACTAGGAAACTCAGCCCTCCCACATGGCTCTTTCTACTTCCTGAAGTCTAAGCATTGTTCAGTGTTCATCCTTTGGAAACTGATGAGCCATAGTTTCTTTTGGCAGTGCCCCTTCTTTCTCTTGATGTTTTTTTCTTTCTCCTCTTCCCTCACTGTAGTTTCTATTTTTCTTAGCGCCTCCTTCCTGCCACTTATTACTGTGGCAGTTGGGAATCCTGGTTATGGATGAGGGCCTTACTAGTTGTCTGCCACTCCTCACCTTTGCCTTACGTCCTTCCCTCTCTGTTATATGGCGCATGCAGTGAGCCTGCCCCACTTCCTCTTCAGTACCAAGTATCATTTGCCATCAAGAGATTTGTTTATGATCCTTGCCCTCCAGTCATCTCCAACAAATTCTTTACCTTTCCGGAGGAGTTTCCAGGAATTTTTTCCCCTTAGTAGTCTCTTCTGCTGCTGGTGGGCAGGGTGTTTAGGCCAACCCACTTCAAGTGCCTGCACAGGGACCTTGCAAAAAAGCAGCCTTTTGAGAGTCCCCTGCTACTTCCCACTCTACCTCTTTCTCAGTCACCTTGAGTTCACCCTTCTTACTTACCTGGAAAGCTCCTGGCCCCTCAGTCTCTCTAAATACTACCTTCCAACTCTTTCCTAGTAGGAACAACCTGTCTATCCTCCCCTACCTAGTAGTGGGGCTTTGTCTCTCCTAAGCTCTGAGCCCACCATATGTAGCAGGTGGGGGTAATAGAAGAATCCTGTTGTATTGCCCTGTTCTAAAGGGACAGACCAACCTACTAGAATACTGTACAGGCACAGAGCAAGAACAGGCAAGGTATAAAACAAGAGATGGGAGTACAAGGAAACCAGACTATGCAAGTCAGCATAATAGAACATGGGCTCAGCACACCTGCAGCATAACTGTTGTCAAGGTTTCTGTAAACATTATGTCCATCCTCTACATTCACTTACAGACATACTAAAAACATGTAGGCCTTGGTCCTACAAACACTCTTGCTACTATTTTCATAAGCAAGATTAGGCAGGTATCTAACTGGTAAGAATTTTTCATGTTAGAGCAAGAGAACAACTAAAATAAGTTTCACCTAATAGAATCTCTAGTGTTCAGTGCTCAGTGGGGTAGTGGAAATGTCGCTACAGATTAGAGATATATAAGGCAGCCTGGAATAGATGTCACCTATATCCCGGTGTCTACAGCACCAGAAATACTTAGCTAAATGGTTATAGTTGCAAAGCTTATTCTTATTATTGCATAGCATTTTTTGTTTTTCTTAAGAAAACTTCTTTCTTAACACAGCAAAATGCACATAGATTTTGATGATCATGTCACTGATAATGTTCTTGATGCTGGAAGGGGAAGCTAGCATAACAACACTTTTTGGTTATATGAGGATGTTAGTTTGGTTTGTATGTTGAGGTTTGGTAAAAAATGCATACCAAGTACCCTGCGAGTTGAGGGAAGACGGCAGCTATTAAGTTGCTGTCTGTCTCTCTTCAGATGTGCAGATAGTTTTGCAGCATTGTTTCCTTGTGTAATGGTTATTGGTGTTCGCATGTAAATTTCAATATATTTAATTAACTATACCACCTTAATTTCCTTTGACATCCCTTTTCACTCTTGAAATTTTTTTTTGAAGTCTTTAAAAAAGTTATAATTTTGTGTGCAGAAAGATGTGCTGTGCTGGCTTGCGGTTTGTTTTGTCTAACTTTCCAAAGAAATCAACACTCAGATTGGATCCCTACGTTTTTGTTTTTTTTTTTTTAAGTTGAGGCAGAAAGAGGAATGGGAAGAAAAGGTCATTTTCATCCGTAAAATTAGCATATTGTTGAATTTCTCTCCTGTAGTTAATAGGATATACACCAAAGCTGCAGGAATTAAGTTATGTAACAAGAAAAACAAATTGATTTTTGTTTCCAGTTTACAAGTTTAAACATCTCGTAATGGTCTTATTCCATTCAGTCTACAAAGCTTAGAGTTCTGTGAGATGTTTTTAAAACCTGACGACATTGTGTGTCTTCTGTAGTCCTCTCTAACTCCGCTTCCTCACCCAAAAAGATCATCCAACCTCATCATTGTTGTTGTCATCATAATCATTGGCATCTGATTTAGCAGTTAATGAAGTGAATGGGACAGTTCATGTGCCAGAGTGGTTACTTCAGGTTCTCTCCAAACTCTTGCGGAGACACTCTGGCATGTGGTTGCACGTGCTTCACACTTTGAAGTTTTTTCTATAGAACTAGATGTGTATCATTTTTATTTTTACATCAAAGATGAGATGCTGGAAAACAATGGAATGGCCTGTCTGGGCCAGTTCCTAGCCCTGGATGTTGCATCCTGCACTTGAGAAAACACAACCGCTGGGACACTGGAGGTGTAGTGGAGACAATGGGTTCTTAGTATGACCCTTGTAGCTAAGAGAGGGTAAACTGGGACAGGGCATCATTCTGGTTGTTTTATTCTTTGCCCAAAATGTGAGGTGCCTCAAGGAGAATAAGACAGACTTGTCTGAGGAGTGTTCAGTCTAATGAAAAATGGAAGGAGGTCAGGGATAGATCTGTGAGAGCAATGGTGAAGCTAGAACTGCTTGTCTTGTTTAATATAATTAAACAATAACAACAGCAAAGCACAACAGCTGCTCTTACACCTGAGTATTCAGCCTCTTCCTAGGAGGGCATGTGTTGTTTTTGGGGACACAATGTGGGAAACATCATTATTCCCTACTACCTATTTCAGGCCTTATCTCACTACCCCGTGCCAGACCTTGCTCCCTACC